GGAAAGCAGCTAGGCTGCTAGGAAGCCTGGAGTCAGGGGTCTGCATGATGGCAGAAACCTTAGATATGTCGAATGCTGTTCCCTTTACAGCCACCACCTGCCTAGCTGAAAGGTTATATACATTGTCCCAGCTCTCTCAGCTTTTCCTCATCTTTGTGGCTCTTCACTCAATGTCTTCTTCCCAGGTGTTACAATATTCTCTGCCACTGCCTGGGAGTCATTCTCATGATATTTAAAGCTTCTCCCAGAAGCTCCTTTGGCTCTTCTGCCACTCTTGTTAAGTCATGTGAAACATTCCTTTGTTCTGCTGGGATACCTGTTTTTTCTGTTTTGGACTATTTCTTCCTTATATCTGGTCTGAATCTGCCTCTTTTACCTATCGGTACAGGCCCTATTAAAAAGTCTGTCTCCATCTTTCTTATAAGCCCCCTTTAAGTATTGAAAAGCCACAATAAGGACTCCCTGGAGCCTTTTCTTCTCCAGGCTATTCATTTATTCTATACATCTAGTCACTCCTTTACATTGTTTAGGCCTTTCCAGTAACAGGATAAATATGTCAACGTGAAGTCTGCAGGACTGTACATAGAGGACAAATAGTACAGAGTTTTCTTAGCTCCCATTGCAGCACATCCTTTTTCCAAGTTTGCGTGGATGAACACATCCATCACTGCAAAAGAAGTTCCTGAACTGCTCTCAGATCTTTCCCTCAGCAACAAAATGTACCCATCTGTGTCCTATGCTGTGCACCCCAGGGTCTGGGCACAGGCTTGTTATCCCAGAGCAGTAACTGTGGTACACTGCCACGGCTTTCTATTGTAAAAGCTCTAAGAACAAAAACTGGCATAATCTTTTAAGGATGTAATTTTTTGTTACAGGCAGGCATCTGCAGTGGAGGATATGGGGTGGTTTTCTGTCTGATTTTATGCAAGATATCAGATTTTGCTTCTCAATCATACATTCCTCTTCCAGCGATTTACTGTATTCTGTGCACTGCCTGGATGTGTTTTTGGAAAGCTAGACTGATGAATGTTATGAGCCCTGAGATTATAAAGGAAAATTATTTCTAGTTAACCAAAAGAGTCAGTAAACTTTGCTCTTGAGCCCAGCAGGAGGCCCAACAACTTATTCTTTCAGCTTAAGCTGGCTCTGGCTCTGGGCAAATTCATTCTGTGAATAAATAGCAAGTCAATAAATCATGAAGACGGAAGCATCAATAACCACTGAGGACAACAGGATTTGTGGGCCAACGTTTCCTTGAATCTGACCTGAGATCATCATTGGTGTAGCAGAGTCATTCATAAATTTTTCTGTTTGTAAAATGTTACAAAACAGCTAAGAAATGCTTTAGAACTGTTCAGAGAATAGCAAAAGCTGAAAATTTGTTGTTTGTAAATAATTTACACAGAATGATTTCCCATCAGTTACAGTCTGTTAAGAGATGGAGTGGAACATTTCTCATCAAAAGCCAGAAGGTATTGGAAGGTATCTGAAAAATAATTGTTCTGTTTATAACTCCCAGTGTGCTCCATGACTTGTATTTTAGTATAATGATTTTAATGAGAAAAACCCATTGCTTCTTTAAAGCAAAACAATCCCTGATCAATATTCCACAATGTTTCTGGTAGAATAAAAAAAAATCCAACGTGCTGCTAGAAGAATTTAGAGAGCTTCCCTGCAGCACCCAAAACCATCCTTACTTGCTTACGTGGGCAGGTAGGGCAGTGCCCTACTTACGGCATGTTCCCAGCTTTAGATTAGATAGTTTAGACACAGCCTAAGTAGCTTTGGGACAAATTGTTTCACTTTCTGTGCTCCAGTGCTAGGGACATAAGCTAGGAACAACGATGATGAGCTCTTCTAGAGCTTCTTGAACTCTCTGACTGAAAGGTTAAAACTGTTTTTTGACTATTAATTATTCCTATTAATAATCTTCTATAACTGTGATATAAAGGGAATAATTTTCCCCTACGCAGCGCTAGGTCAAGTGTGTTTAAGGCTGTCTTCAGCTTTCAATGAGTCAGTGGCTTTAGGAGCCTGGGCTCATGCTCTCAGGCTTAGCTTTTCATTAGTGCCTCTTTTCATACAAGCCTGAAAGGGCAGTGACAAGCTTTCTTAAAGCTGGAGACAAAATACTCTCAGTGCAGCAACACTCTCTTACAGACATATCCCTGCTGTAGTTTTAACTGGCAGATAACCTGATAGCTGGTAACCAGGACAAACAAGAGGAGCTTCAACTCTGCTTTGCTTGCCTCGGGGTCCAACACTGGCTTTGGGAGCCAGCTCTGGAGATACAAAGGATGCACAAAATAGCTGTCAGCTCTACTAACCTCATCCCCAGCACAGAGATAAATCCTGTCCTGTGTTTTGGTGCCAAGGAGTCATAGGAAGCATGTGCAGGAAAGGGCTTTTATGATCAGGGCCTGACTCACTGTCAATATCAAAATATAAACTATCCAGCACACCTAACTCTGCAGGGAACAGAGCGTCCTCACCAGCATGCTGAGCATCAGAAAATCCCAGCAGAGTCAGAAAGATGCATCACATGTTGCTGGCTTGGACCTAATGCACGATAATGGGAAATTAAAAGAAATGACTAAATATAGCTTATTTACAAAGCAAAGTAGGGAAGATGAACATTTCTATGCAACAGGTACATATGTATATATAGAATTTGTAGGTAAACAGTTGATATATGTAAATCTCTGTGTGTGTGTATGTGTACATTTACTCAGTACAGCTAAATGTCAGCAACATTAATACTAAAAAGCATTATTGCACTAAAAAAATCCTAACAATCACTTCTCTAGCTGGCTATGAGACAGAAGTGGTTGATTTGCTGGGTTTGGACATCCTAAATATAGCTCGAAAAGATGCTTCTGACACACTTGTCTCTCCTGTTTAGTTGTCAAACATACTCTGAATAAAAGTACCCTGAAGAAAGGGGTTTCTATGATCTCAACATGTGGTCCTTTTTCTGGTGAAGCAAATGGGAAAGCAGCCTTGGAGAATGTGAGTCATCTGATCTGTCAAGCTGAAACCATTAAACAGAGACAAGGCAGATAGGGATGCTAATGCAATTCAGGCTAAAGAGTCATTTAGAAATGAGGCTGTGTCTCATCTTTCTCATCTTTGTTCATTCCGTTTAGGTAAGTTCCTCTTGGTGGGTAGGACGCCAATATATTTTCCTTTCAGTTCAGTAAGGCAGTGTTTGCTATGTGCCTGAATCAGTTATCTAACCCACATCAGCCAAGGCTGAGCTGCACTCGCTCTCTGCTTGCTTGGTCAGTGAAAAACCATGTCTGGGCCATCATCCTGCCCTTAGCAAATAGTTAGTGTGCTAACACTCAGAGCTGACATCTGCAGCCTCTGGATTGTGAAAGAGGGTGGTGCAATGCTCCTGTAACACAACAGAAAACTATATGTTGTCCTTTCTTTAAGCTGGTCCAGTTAAGTCTGATGTTGATTTCTACAAGGGCACCAACAGATCCTAAATCAATAGAAACCAGCAGTATCATGGAGAATGACAGTGTGTCCATACAAACTCGAGTCCTGATCTTGAATGAACAGGGGACATGTGCACCTTAGTGGGCAACCCTTCCTAGGAAACACCACCCTCATTAGACTGTTACACGTACCTGTCCAAGGACCCAGCCCTGCATTTTCACTTGATGAAAATCCCTCTAGTTATTGAATGTTGCTGTTTTCAATGTACTACACAACACCTGGATCCTTAGTTTTCAGACATAGTCTGCTTTGCCTGACACTGGTGTGTACGTATATTGGTATATCACTTTAGCTACAGACCTGTACGACTGACATATTTCTTTATGTGTGATATCAAGTGGAGAGCAAACAGGCAACCCCAAGGATTTCCCCATGCATTTGTAACACTGTCAGCTGAGCTGCTGCAACCAGGAAAACCTCACCATGTTGCCTTCTGACAATTGAAAGTACAGTGGCATAAGGGACTTGCATCTCTTTACATCTGGCCTCAGGGTCCTAGTCTTCAACTCTGCTTTTATTAACAGGTTCCTGATTTTCTTAAAGAAATTTCCCATAGTTGTTCTAATTATTTACTGGTGTTTAACAAGTACTTAACTCTAATGGTTTTAAATTGCCTGAAAAAAATAATTATAACTACATTCTAACTACAAGTATCCATCTAAGTGAATAGGAGGTAGTGGGACATTCGGCTCACCTCCTATCTCTATGTGCCATTGCTCTCAGGTGACTCTGAAGGGATGGCAGTGACCCATCAGGCCAGGCAGACACCTTGCTTGCAGTCCCGACATGGGTGATGCTCCACTCCTAGGCTGCCTCACTGTAGAATGCTTCCTCCTGTACCTGGGGTAGAATGAGGCCCTGGCTACACAGGTGCAGATTTGTTATTTAAAAAGTCACACCAGTTTATCAGTCATGCAAGCAGTGGTGCTGAACACCCTGCAGCTTCTGTTCGAGCATGTTACAAGAGGAGTGATGAACCTTCAGCCCTGGAGGCACAGGGAGCATACAAACTGCTCGGATCCCTGATCATGCCGTGGCTGCCTCACGCAGGCAGATCTGCTGTGGGCTGCAGGAGAACATCGACATCCCCAGAGCTGGAAGGAGACAAGCCAGCAGGAGTTGTTGCAGCCATCATCCCAGCTGCCCTGGCCCCAGCTCCATGTCCCCCATCAGCTCCACACTGTCCTGCGCCAAGACCTCAGTGTTACAGCCAGGTCCTTCATCTGTCCCCAGAACCCCCTCCCCTGTCTGTGGTATGTGCCCTGTGGCTTGCTGCCTTTTTGGTATTTGGCTCTTCAGGTCAAAAAGGATGGGCATAACTGAGCTAATGCAGGGGGGAATGGTAGCTTTACATGCCCCGCCTACTACTTATAATAAAATCCCACTTGTACATTACTAAGCTAGCAAGTAGTACACATTAAACTATTCAGAATAATAGGTATTTATTTTCAGTGCTATTTTAATTAAATATTGGTATAATATAGCCATGTCTGAGGTAATAAATTAAAAATAAATTCAAGATTTCAGTCCCATATTTGTGCTGCATATTTTTTTCTACCATTATATATAATTTTGAAGCAAACACACACAGTCCATAATTCTTAATGCAGCTAGGAATATTATTTTAACACAGTCACTTTTTGTTTCACTATTTTTGCTGAGAATGGTTATTGCATGATACACTTTTAATAGATGTTTTAGTTATACTAGAGTTTTCTATTAAATCACACATACCGTAGTTATAGGAAGATGGGCATGAAGATGTGCTTTGAGCCAAGGAAGGCAAATATTGAATCAGAGTGCTAGCACATACTGCAGGATTATTGTCTGCCTGCACTAGAGCCCAGTTCCAGCAAAGCCATTTCAGTGTGTGCTTAGCTTTAGACATATGAATAGTTTCAGTGCCATCCATGGCCTTAAGTGTTTGCTGAATCAAGGACTAGCCAAGTCTGCAGACATAAATTCAGACTTCTTCAACTGTGTGTTATTTGAAAACAGTTTTGCTGGTTTCATATTTTGTAAGATATTTTTTAACGACCTTCCTAAGATTTTTTGTATCAGTGAAGCACCCATGAAAGTTTCTAACCTGGTTCATAAAGACACTATGAAAAAATAAGCAGCTACAATGACTCTTTTCTACACATTTTGTTAAAAGCAACACCTGGTTTGAAAAGTTATTAAAGTAATTCTTCCCATGGTAAAATATATTTAAAAAAATAAACTCTTCATCATCTTCCATCAAACATATAAGCTTGTTCAAGGGCGGGGCATACCTCAGGTATTTTCATTTATAAATGCAAAAGATTGAGTGTATCAATATTTTTGCACTTAAATGCTGGTGGTAGTAAGGCCCTTTCAGCTAAGTCTCCATCAAGCCCAACATTAGTGAGCTAAAGAAACAAACAAACAAAAATTTTGCTTGCATATAACTTTTTCATAATCCTGAATTGAAAACAAATCCTCTCTGCCTAGAAAAAACTTAACTGCTGTAAGTCTGCTGTCATTAAAAAAGTATACCTCATCTCCATGTTGTTTTAACTTTAATCACCGATTCTTAATGCAAAGGATTTAAACACTCACTAAAATTGCTGTGGCATGCCATCAGACTCTTAATGTTCAGAAATTGTGCTAATTCCCATTTAAATCAGGAAGCTATAGTTTAGAGCTAGAGCTAATGGTTGTCTTGGTGTTAAAGGTCTGTTTCCACCAGATTTTCTTTATTCTGTTTTGCAAATGACTGACAGTGCTCATGATGTGAACCTGAAAAAACGTCTGGTGTTATTACCAAAAGCTATAGGCTGTGTGAAAACTCTCCATGCTCATGCAGTGAACTGCATTGTTGCGGGAACCATGGTCCACACTGCAGTGCTCTTGGGCCTGGCCACGAGGGCGCAGCTGTGCAGCCCGGGGGTCTTCAGTACTCCACCGAGCTCACGATTGCCATTGGTTCATCGAATGTTGCCAACCTTATCTGCTTTGGGGTGGGGATGGAGAGAATTTCCCCGGTGTCAGTTGGTGAGTGAATACCATTGTCTATTATGTTTGAAACTTCCTCCTCATGATCCTCGTAGAGTGTGTTGATGTGCAGCAAAGGGTGGGCTGGGTTGCAGTTCAGTGCAGGTGTTGGCTCTGGCTTGACTTGGTTCAAAGTCATACTCGTTGCAGCAGCAGTTGTGGCTATATGGTTGTGGTTACATGTGACAAAAGCCCCAGCAGCAGGCACAGTTCTGCATGTCTCAGATGAGTAGAGGATCTCTTTTGCAGGATGAGGGGTGTCTAAAAGAAAACAAAACAGCCATTTAAAGGAGACAGGTAATCTTTCACCCTTCCAGCCCATCAGAGGGGAGTGTCCTGAACCAATAAAAGTCATTGGCAGTTTTGCCACTGTGGGAGCAGGAGTGGACTCAGACACGAATTTTCTTGGGACCCTTGGAGAAATCCAACAGGACTGTTTCAAAACAACAGGGTTGTAAGCTCAGGGAAACAGGACAAACAACAAATGGGTTTTGTAAATCTTGCTCTTTTTTACGCATGCTCATGCTTCTTTATGTGAATGGTATTTTCGTAAAATGAACAAAAAAACAACTGCAAAGTATCTTTTATTCCCCTCTACAGTCTGGCAGGTGTTTTATAAATGTTGATTTAATGTTTTGACAAACATTATGACTGTTGAAATCCACAGGATGGAATACAAAAAGCACTGATATTTTCAATGGGAAAAAATAGTGGTTTACACATTGTAAGCCACTTGTCTTTAGAAAGAACTCAGCAATTTGACATTAACTGATGTCTCTTTCCGGAAATTACAAGTTTACCTTACCTGATGGACTGCAATGTAGGTCTAACTCAAAAGCAAAGCTGAAAATTTTTAATGGGAATGGGGAATAACAGACCCCCAAAACTACAGTAATTATTTTTTGCCCTTAAAATATTCAAGCACTAATTTAGATGAAGGTAATTGAGACCAGAAAACCCCAGTAGTTTTGAGGAGTTGAAATCAGAGCAGGTGACTGGATAAGGAATGCTGTAGAATAGTTCACATGCACATTGGGGAGTTGGAGGGCTCTAAGGAGCATAGGGATTTGGAAGTGACAGAAACTTTTATACCTCAAATCACTTCTTTGCTGGGCAGTGGGGTGACGGTAGCTGTCAGTCTGTCGAAGCCCAGAGGGAGGTCTTAGCTTGTAATGAGATGAGAGCCATTGCTTTAAGTACATACAAATCTTTCTGTAACTTCAATTGCATAGTGCTTCTTTCTTATGTCAGTAGCTTACAAAAATACACAAGATATCTGTCTATCAGTTTATCTACTGATCTATAATTTTTTTTAATGCTCACATGGCTTTCCGTATCACTCTAACACCTGACAATTACTGATATATTTAAAACACTCCTTTGGGGTAAGAGAGGGACAGGATTTCCAAGACACACAACAGAAACTGAAGCACATAAACAGCATCTCGTGAGAGGCCACATGGGAAGGGAATGGCATAATTTCTACATCCCTGACCAGCACCCACACTTCAGACCAATCCATCCTCTGGCCCACATGAGACAGAGGGCAATTTAAAACATCTCTTGCATGAAAAACAGTATCAGTGATCTGAGTTGTGATTTTCTAGTGACAAACATGTGCCAACCCCTAAAAATTGGTAGTTAAAAAGAATTTTTGCTACAGGCAGCTTTAACTGCTATTAGCACAGTTTCTCACACACGCCTAAGTGGCTATTACTAGTTAGAGTACTGGTCATCTACCATGGCAATTTCCATACAAGTTGAAAATAAGCAGGTTTGAAACATGTCAGGTGCTGGTAGAGCAGGAAGGGTATCACAAGAGGCCAAACTCTCATTTCCTTAGCAAGGCATGACCACATTTGTAATTGTGAAAATCTGCTTACATTTGAAAAATTACCTGCACCAACAGCCTACAGGCTGTTTTGTACAGCTCTACCTGTAATAATCCTTATCCTCCATGTAGGTGTTAAAGAGAGAGAACCTCTCTTTCTGAGGCCTGCAAGCCCTAAGATTATTAGCTATCCCAAAATCTAGCAAGGTAGGTCAAACAGTTCAGATAAGCTTTGAGTTCCTGAAGATTGCTATGCAAATTATGGTCTGTGGAGGTGGTATGGGCATTATGGCATACTGTACCTTTGAGAGAGGAGGTAACGTGTACTACAACATTCTCTTCCTGGTTTAAAAATCCACCCTCTTGGCTTTTTGATGTAGGCATCGAGGGGATGGCTTGAATCTCTGGCTTGGGTTTTTTGCTACTAAGTATATACGGATGAACATCCAAGGAAAAGTGTCGTGTGTGTTTTTTTTCACTGCTTGTGCTTGGGATGGCATTTGGCTCAGTTTTATGAGCTGATGATTGCTGTGAGGTTTTTGCAGCAGACTCTAACAAAGGAGCTATAAGGCTGTCTGTCGCTGTTTTTCTCCGCACAGGCTTCGGCTTTTCAGGTTTATGGTTTTCAACCTTCATAATGGCTAACTGTTCCTTGAACGGTTGAGGAAGGGGATTGGTAGTTGGGATCCATTTCATCTTCTTCCTTGGTCTCTTAATGATGAGCTGCTCATTAGCATCAATATCTGCTGGATCTACGCTTGGGTCTATCGTTTGGATCCCTGAATCACGCATGGTTGGAGTGGCATCATGATTGGACTGGGCCAATGCTGCAAGCAGCTGTCGCACCACATTGTCATACATCAGATCGCTTTCATTTGTAATAAAATCCAGACGGTTCAATGATTTTATGTGGTCCCGATTTTCATTACAAAACATGGCCAAAATATTGATATCACAAAACTGGGACTTCTGCCACTGTTTCTTGGTCTTTATTCCAACTTTGTTCAGTTTATCAAATATGAAGTTAGACTTGCGAAATATGAAGAGGTGAATTAAGTTGATGAGAATTATCAAGTTCATGAAGCAGAGGAGAACGATATCTACACCAGCAATAATCCGCTGGAGCTGGACAGATGGCAGTTTACAGTTCACTCTGATGTGCAATTTTGAACTGCTTGTTTTGTCTGGAGGCTCTCCTAGTGCACACGTAAATTCATTTTGCTTCTGTGTAGCATAGTAGGTGGATAAGTATGTAATTGGTATAATACTTAAAAAGATGATGAACAAATGTCTCGCTAGGTAAAGCTTAGCTAAAAAGTTACTTCGTCCTCTCCTTTCCAGGTATTTCTCAAACAAGTTCTGTTCAGGGCTTTTTTCCTTCTCTGCGTTCTCAATGATTTCTCTCTTCTCTCTCTCGGTGATCCCTGGGCCTTTGGACTGAATCTGTTTCTCTATTTTTGGTGCCCGCCCTTCAGCTGCACGGTGGTAGCAGTTATCAATCTCCTGAAGCAAAAAATTAAGCTCTGAAGTCAGTCGGGTGGAGGCCAGAAATTCCCAGCCCAGAGCTGGAATGTACATTATCCCAGCAAAAGCCAGCAGTGCATAAGGTAGGAACTTATGCTCAAACAAGGAGGGCCAGTGGCTGGCATCAACTCCTGGCAAGGCATCTTTTAATTCTGTCCAACAGTATCCTCTGGCATACAAGGCTTGATCGCGGGTGAAGTTGTGTGGTGTATAACAGTATATTGGCTCCTCTGTATAACAGAGAGAAAAGTCACTGCTGTGCATTTAACCTACAAAAGGAGCTCTGGAAAATAAACATTTCAAATTATATCAATTTTGGTTTACTGTATCTTTGCATGACCGTTAAGCCCTCCATGTCTGTTAGCTCAGCCTGCACACATCTTCACAAGCCCCAGGCAAAACAATTTACCTGGAGGTTTTAGAATGAACCTGAGCTAGAAATGTCAGCAAGAAATATGTATTTTGGTTTAATTACCTCTCTGAAAACAATATTCTAATGAACTATGACCTATACTCTGTAAAGCTAAAAGTCCTGATATCCACTATACAGCAGCTGAGGATGTTATGTGGAAATGCTGAAAGGCTCATTTAAGTGAAGTTAAACTTTCATCCCAGCTAAATATTCTTCAAAATAGAAAAAAGTTAGATGTAGCTGAAGGCAGGTTTTTAGTCCCTATTAACTAAGTCTACCCATTGGATATGGTAGAAAAAATCTTAAAGACATACAAACATTTAGTCAACTGTGTCCCTCCCAGCTAACACTCTTGAGTTGAAGTGTTACTGACCAGGACAGAACGTGGTGTTAACTGTATTTATCACTATGAAAATTTAATTCTACATTTGAAACTGTAACATTGTTTTTTTACACAATGTACAATTAAATGGTGGAATTTGCTGTCATACAGTATTATGGAAGAAACAAACACTGTGGATTAAGAAAGCAATCAGACAAAATAATGTAAGAAAAACTATAGGATTATTAAATACACAGATAGTGATGCAGTTTTTCTCTCAGGACATGTTTAAGCCACAGGCTGCTGGAAGGTGGAAGGGTTTATCAAAAGAATTAACACCATATGCTTGTCTATTTTAACACTCCTTCCTAAGCATTTGGTTTTTGCCATCATCAGAGACAGGATGTGGGGCTAAAAGGATTTTTGTCTTGACCCAGTAGATAAGTTATGTTCTTATACAATTGCTTTTCTAGCAATACAAGAAAGACAGAAAAACTTGTCGAAGTTGGAACAGTATTAATTGCCCAAAGAACAGTGACCATTATCAAAACACCGTTTTCAAAGAAGATCATATTTTCATGTTTTGGCAGGTAGAACAAAGGGAATATATTTTACAGTGTTCTGGTATACCTTTAAAAAACTTCCTAAAATGGAAGAAGGCATGTTCTCTTGAATTGAGAATCGCTCAAGAACGCCAAGTTTGCTGCAGTTCAGAACACAGTCTAAAATTCAGATTGAGAACAGCTCACTGGAAGAGACTGGTAGTACTGTTATCTTAATAATAATACAAATAATGGAGAGAAGTAATATTATGTCATTTGATGACAATAAATAAAATATTAAAAATTATTAGGCAAGCAAAACCCTAATCCTTTTGGCTTAACATGAGTACTCCTTACTTGACCAACTACTTCTCATATGAGAACAAATCAAAAGCATTTACTAGTTCTTTGGTAAAATATTGAGGTGTAAACCTCTTCTGTGAGACCTCTACAGAGATCTATGTGCGGAGGACTGCACAATTTATTTTTTTTTAAGTGATTCGGTGAGTATTATTTTCTAAAAAGACAACCAATTTAAACAGCTGGCAGAATAAATGATGCTATCCAAGACAGCATGCAAAGTGAGTAAATCCTGCAAATTCTTTAAAATCATTTTTGAAGACTATTTTAAAACAATCTAACTTTAACCTCAGAGGAGAGCTTAAAGCATTCCAATGTTACACACCTTCCCATTTAGACTGGTTTTGTGTATTTACAACCATGTCTTACAATAAAAATGCTCATTGACTCTCTTGATTTTGGTAATTACATGCCCTCCCAACCCTTCTCATGAAGGGATGCATACAAAAAATTTCAGTTCCTACTATCAAAGAGTTACTGTATGATTTCCCAGGAGACAAAGTAGATTCCTATGTGAAAATATTCCCATGGGGAAAAAAAAGGCAAAGAAGTGTGGTGCATTTCTTGTAAGCAGAAATATTTTGAATTGGTTGTCCCCAAGCTCAGAAGAACCTGCCAATATGAAACCCAGTTTCCTGTGACATATATGCTTTCATTTCTCCTGGGTCTCAACACCAGGAATACTTGGGAAGATGAGTATTCATACAAATCATCCATAAGGATTACATTTGGATTCATGTATCAGTTGCTACTATCAAATAAACCAAACAGTTCTCTTCACTGAGACCTGAAAGCTCAGGTGACTTCTTCCAAAATTGTATACGTACAATAACAATGAAACATATATTTATTTTATAAATAAAAAAAAGGAAACAAATCAAAATGTCTTAACATTTACGTTTATGTTGGACAGATCCCTTAGAGACTATCTCTGCACTCTATCCATTGTCACTGCTTCAGTGAGAAAAGTCTGAAGAGCTTCATTAGAGGCTATTTCAAAAATGGGGCTGCCCAGCCCAGGAAAGAAAGCAAACGTTATTTTACAGGAATTTGCTTCTTTTTCCTATGTTAAACATTTTTTTAGCTGCTCCCATTGCCTGGTAAATTGTGGGAGAACTCTTAATTTATTGGGATTGCTGAACATGGTGCTCCACTCTTAATCAATGTTTTGTTATTTGTTGATGCTAGTCCAGTATTTTCTTTGCATGTTTGTTAAATTGACATGATTGTCATTATATGCCATGCAAATCCCAAGACCTTGCAGATGAAACCTAATCCTCAGTGAAGTCAGTGGGATTTCTGATAAGTGATTGAAGTGGGGGCAGTGGGGTTACAGTGCAATTTTATTCAAACATTTTTTTCTGAAATGTTTGAGCCATACTGTCACTGAATGCCACTAATTTGGTAAAGTTATTCCACAGGGGAATTTAGTTTAACCTTCCCAGCATAGGACTTCACTCTTAAGCCATAGAATCAGTCTTAGAAAGCTCATTCATCTTAGAAAACAGTCCACACAATGGAGAAGAGAGAAATACCCTTCCAGACAATGATTCAAAGCAAAAGACTAATGTAGTTGTTGCCTGGAGGAGCCTGTCTCTCTTCATTGACAAAAGGCTGCCAACCAAGATTGCCACTAGGTTTCACTTAGCTTTTGTGAATGTTACTTCTCAGTCTGTAGCAGCATTTAACCTGGCATTTAGCACCATGAAGGTGTTCGATCCCATCATAGCAAGGACTTGTTTCTCTCCTACTGCAATCTGTGTCAATCAGGAATAAATGAAAAACAAAGGCACCATTTCAATGGTTATGTTGGTTTGTTATGAAACATGGCAGTAACATATAGCTGGATCTCAACATGCAGATCCGATGAGGACAGGGGAGTAAAAGGTTGTTCTCACACATATAGCTCACTCTAGCAGTGACGGCCCTGCTTAATAAAGTTTCAAGAAGGCATAACAGATGTTTGGGTTTTTTTTTATTTTACAGTGTTCTCCTGATAGGTAAGTAGCATTTAAAAAAAGGCTGTACTAGTGTTAAAATTGTAGCTCTGACATTGGATCATGCAACATAAAAAAAAAAAGTATTTGCTTTTAACTTTGTATTCATAAATACAGAAAGTTTCTACTGATATTCTTATTTTACCCTGAAATTCCTCAAGCAATTTAGGAAGTTTCTTTTTCATATAACCACTCCAGCCACTGTGAAATTCAGCTTTTTCCCAGGACTCTGCAGTTTAATTGCACACGGTGTAACTATTTAATTGTGTAGGAAAAGACAATAGAGTAAGATGCTGTAAAGAAAATTTTTAAAAAAAGTTTAGGATACATTATTATAGCTGAGTGGCCTTGGTTGTCTTCTCAATGTTGTCTAGGCGTAAACCCATAAATATAATCTATCCCTTCACTCTCCTTGATAGATACATTGTTGTGAGCCCAAGAGACAGAAATTCCTACCAAAAAAACAGAGAGCAAGGTCATAATCTCCAAAATAAACTTTTGCCAGTTTCAAACAATAATGAAAAGGTGGTCACGGTGGACATGTATGTGTGTACACATGTGCATCTGTAGTAAAGGCAAAAAAAAGAAAAAAAGCAAGATAACTAAGCTGTCATTGTTATTGGTGACTGGAATACTAAACTCAACTTTTCTGCATTAAATGTGATGGCTTACTGCAAGATTTTTGGTTCTGATGCTCAGAGTAAAATCTCAGTAAGTTCAAAGTCTAAAGGTCTGCCCTTAGGTTCACCTACACAAATGTGTTAACTGCATGCCAGAATATGAAGCTCAATTTCAGAAAACATCACTAGGAATACCTAAGAACAAATCCTGTCTTCAGTAATACTTTCCTACAGTCACTCATTGCCAAGAAATGTTCCTTTTGAACAATTTTTAATAGAATAAGTAACCCTGTGCTAATGCTGTGCAGAAAAAATTACTACATTAGAAAAAAAGTCCTTGATGTTAATATATTATAAAGTATATTAATATTTTACCTCATACTGGCTTGAGTATAAAGATGCATACTAAGCAGGTTAGCTTCCCTTTTTTTCAATACTGTTAGATGATCACAGGAGCATTACATCAGATGTTTTCAACAGTCGTACATAAATATTATTTTGCTCAATGTGCATGTAAGTAGTTTCCAGAAGTCCACAAAACTATTCTCATGAATAAGGTAAAAGAGACATCTCACTGAATTTTTTGCAAACAAGATGAAATAACACAGAATCACTTAGTTGTGTAATGCAATTGTGTTATGCCACTTCAAAAATTAAAATCCCTTGGCAGCTAAGTTTTTTCACATGCTTACATTCTGTACCATCTCATCCTGTCAATTTAAGTCCTATTTAAATGGAGAAAAATTACTTGCAGGAAGTACTGTGGTACAAAAGGCATACTTTAGGGGAATGAAAGAGAGTGCATGGCTGCAAGAAGAGGGTCAAGGTAAGGAGAGGGATGAAGAATGGGCTGTGCTCAAAAAACTCTTTAGAAAGAATCTAAACAGACAGTATGGAAAGAAGGAGCAAAGGTAAAGTATGTAAGCTAGGAGCTGCCAAGTCTGCTGCCTGTTAGTAAAAGGCTCTGAGAAATGCTTGTGGGCTTTCTGCAGGCTCCCACTCCTGCTGTTCCCAAGTCAAGGTCAACCACCTCCTTTGAGTGGGTCCCCAACCTCCATATACTTTAGTATACATTCAGCTGCCCTCTTCAAGAGCCCCAAATTAAAGACTGTTTGTCAGGTTGCAGGTCTAGGCATGAAAATATGTTAGATAAAGAAATCTCCTACTTGATTTCAACCAAGAGATAAAATACTGTAAATTCTGAAATTCCTCAAGTGAGGGTCTGGGGTGCTGATGTTTGGAGTTGGAACCCCTGTGACACTTCCCACTGCAAAATGCAAATCTCAGACCTGGAAATAGGGTTACCAATGGGAAAATCTGGTGGTGGCTGTTCTAGACCATTCCCTGAAGTTAAATCCCAATGCAGAATCATGGAAATGCTGGAAGGAACCTCAGAACTTACCATGTCCCACATCCTGCTCAAAGCAGGGTAAAGACTGAGTTCAGATCAGTTTGATTAGGGCTTTTTCAGGCTGAAAACCTCCTAAAATGGAGACTACACAAGCTTCCTGTGCAACCTGCTCCAATGCTTGATTGTCCTTAAGGTGAACTTTATTTTTCTTTAGATTATATCCAGCAAGAACATCTGATTCATGCAGGAGTAATTTTCTCACTTTTGAGAAATGGCCATTTCCAAAAATGAATGCAGTGACCAGTTGTACTAAGGACACATTAGGTAAAACATGGCTAGAAGGCTATCATTGAAATACAAGTGGCTAGAGCTCAGGCCTCAGTAATGCATCCCAATAGAAGGAAGAGATATCAGCAGCACAGTTCACCAAGGAGGCTCTGTGTGTGTGTGCACGCACACATGCATGTATGTATGTGTATTTGCCTATCTATAAAAAAAAAAAACAAACCCTTGCAAAAAAATGTGAGCTGGTATATGGTACACAGAAATGTCACTGTCAAGAAGGCATGGTGAAGCTGTAGATAAGTATCACTTGCCGCTACCTTTGCAAAGCTCAAGTTTTTGTAAGTCTTCCAGGGAAAGTGAGTGAATTGCATCTAACACACTCACTTGGTCCTTAAAAAAAGAGATTATAATGTCAATCTCTTGGTATTCAACACTGTAAAAAATTAGACCTGCTCCTAAAAAGACTTAAGTGACTTCATGCATTGGGCAGTTCCTTTGCAGCCAATAGGATTACTCACAGTGCATAAAATTTGGCATGTGCATCTCTCTTTGAAGAACTAATGCTGTAGGGGTCAATTTCAAGCTTCTGAAATATTATTATGAGCAAAAGTTATTTAAATAAATATGGACAACACATTTACAATGCTTTTGGTAGCCATTAAAAAGTAAGAAAGGAAAATATTCATAATAAACAGTATATGCCCCTATGTAAAAGGGCAAATGAGTTTTCACACCTACCGTATTCCCAGTGAAATAAAGTATATTCACCCAAAGCAAAATATAAACCATAATAATAAAATGTGTATGTCTCCTGTGACCTCCAGCTTTTAGAATTTACTCCGAAAAAAGAAAGGACCCCTCATTAATCTTCCGCGTTGCATGATTTCAGCATTCTAGTGCAATAATTCAGTAATGCAGAAGAAATAACACAATTTTCTAACAGCAGACAGAAAAAAAAAAAAAGGAAAAAAGGAACCCAATTTTTAGAAAAGATAATTAAAAATTGAAAAAAATATTTAAATCCTTATGCTTGCTACAGCAACACAAAGGTAAGTATGCCTCTTGTGCAAAAATTTCAGCTGGAGCACCATGGTTCTACATGGGTATAGGCAGCAGAAGCGGTGCTTAGGCGCTGCTGAACAGGCTGGATCTCCCACCTCCTGGACAAATGCCTAAACCCTCATATTGGAGACCCGAATTAAGTATCAGGTTAAATATACTACAGACTCCACTGAAGGCCTAGTGCTTCCTAGCAATTGGCTTTCTGCCCTCTTTAAGAGGGCTGCTAAACCATCCTCATGCTGGTGCCCAACCTGCCTATGAAGAAAAGCTGGCACTCCAGTCAAGTTCTCTGAAGCACTCCTTGTACAGTCCTCACCACCTGACTCTAAGGAGAGATTCAGTGTTTAAGTAGAATCTCTGAACCTCCCTGTTCATCACATGCCAGAACACAAGTTTCTAACACCCAAGATAAATGAGAAACTCCCTGAATTCCGCAATAAATGCCAGTATTTGACAAGGGTACTGTTCTCCCTATATTTTGTCACGTATGTGTAAGCGATCAGACATATATGCCTCATTCATCTTGGGTACTGAAAGGATTGCACAAGAAAGCTGGAAGTAAATTGTTTATTTTGAGAAACAGAAATAATTTATTTAGTAGTTTTTCAGCAATTTTTAAATGGAAAAGAAGGAATGCCCTGATCCTCTTCTCTCTGGAAAAAAAAAAAGAACAAAAAACATTCATGTTACTGAGGTTGAAGAGGTAGTCTAAGCAAGTATAACATTATCTGAACAGTTTACAGGTTTTGCATCTCAGTCACACAGTCCACAAGGAATATGTAACTCTCTACTCTGAATGTGATTTTATAAATGCTGGCTAATACCCAAATTATTTCACAGCCAAAGGAAAAACTAACTCCCTTAATTTAACTGGTTTATTTCAACTAGTTTATTTAAAGGGTATTTAAAGGTTAGAAATTAGTACAGCATGAGGATGGATTCCTGAAATTACTTATGTTTATCAACTGTAGTCATACAGTCCTATTCAACTCACTGAGTTTACTCATATGAATAAGAAAACATTTATCAAACTAAACCTTAACTTAGCCAGCTAATTATTAAGAATTATTACTTTTATCAAAACAAAAAGACAATACCTTTACCTTTCTTAGGGAATATTCTTTCCAAATCTGAATATAGGTTCCATGCCCATGAAGTCTTCCTAAGGTACAAATTTCTCCATGATCAACAAGGTAAGGTATAGCCTTTTTTGCTCACTGTCTGAAACCACTTGTCCTGTTTAAGAAAAAGACCTTGAAAAGAAAGTCCCTGAAGAAATGAGACCGGAAACCACTGCTGCTAGTAAGTTTTACTGGCTTATACTCTAGAAGGATTAGTCATAATGGGTGAAATGTAGATAAGCAGTTTCAAAGACTGATAGGTATTGGGTTACCCACAGGGGTAACTGCAATGTAAAGGCAGCAGCAGGTGTCCCTATATTTACAATTTGGGTCTTTTTTTCCTTGCAGGACTGCTGCTTGAACTGCATATATTTTGGATCTGCAAAATCAATAAATTAGTAATGCACTTTCCTAGCATATATATAAATTTATAGAACTATATTTCCCATATGTAATAAACATGGTCTTCTAAAATTAGCTGGTATGCTGAAGTTCACTTACCAGCAATCTGAGGCTTAAAGACTTGTAACGCCTGCCCAGGTTATTCAGGAGATAAAGATACCTACTCCTACTTGGTTGATATGTTGAAGTCTGTTGGAGAAGGTTATTCCAGAAATGGCAACTGTTATGCAGAAGGTGCAGAAACACCTAAGTTGAAATCCCTTAGGCTGCTCCTATAGAGGAATGTTTCCTCAATAGTGAGCTACCATCCACCATGTGATGGCCATGGTGCTAACGTCACTGGAAAGAGAGCTTATTTATAGTGACTGCACTGTCGAACATCACTAGGAGCATTTCTTCCTGTGATCAAGAGAGCTCTGTGAAAACACAGAAAACACCTGGAAGGAAATTACAATGCTTATATTTGTACATAGAGGTACTGTATTGTAATGTTGCTTTGTGTTATGTTAAGATTTGAGGGAAGGTTAGATCTGAATTTAAACAGTATTCATCAAAATATAATTAATGAAATTCAGCCATGCAGATAGTCCTACAAAAGAGATCTGAATATTTACTGCTAAATTTAGCGCTTACATGAGGAGGTGAGTGGAATTTTGGTGACATACAGATCTTCTGCACAAGAGAAGAAGTAATGTGTGAAAATAAGTGTTTTAATGTTTTCCAAAGACAAAAAAAAAATTTTTTGGCAATTCAAAAATTCCCCTCTAGAGATGGAACCCCAAAGCAACTACACAAGTATCCAGACACTACAATAATGTGGACTAGAGTAACATCCAAAATAAACTGCAAGAACATGTAAATGCCAAAGTGAAATGAATTATGGAAATCCAGTGAAACCAATGATACATAGACAAGGGTGGCTTCTTAAGTCAAGAGTCAAGCACAAAATACAAACACAGGAAGCAACAGTAAACAGCAGGTTTGTTCTATTGCATTATTATTATTTAACAACTACAGATGAAAAAGATGGCTTGCATTAAGTACCTCTTGGCATAACACAGCACCCAGAAAACTTCATATTGAAAAAGAAGAAAACCGCCAACAGTTAGCTCATTAAGTAAGAATGTTATTTTATTAACATAGTATTTAGGAGGCAGAGATGGATGTTTTACTGCTTTTTGGAAAACTGCTACCTCCACGTGTAGAGAAATTGGCTTTTGTGACGTATCAAAACTGTTTTGATCTATCACAACAGAGCCAGGAGAATCAGTCTCTCAAGGCTTCCAGGTGCTCTGCCAGTTTTAGTGTAGAGGTCTCCTGCTCTCCTGAACAGGTCACAGACCCACAGAAGATTAAGGTACCTCAACATACTGAAATAATTACTTCAGCATATAACTAAAATGCTCAAAAATAGTCACTGAGCTCTAAACTGCAAAAAATACACCATGCATCTCAGCATCTGGCTGCATCACTGCTCTGGTAATTTAGAATCTGGATGACAGGCATGGTGCCAGTAAAGAAAAACAAACAGATCCCCAAACCTTACTATCATAACGAACTGCTGTATCTCCCAGTTCAAATGCAAGAATACAGTACATGCCTGGGACAAAATCCCTGATGATGTAAATAGCTGTACTCATTTGAGTGTTTTTCTTATAATAAATTCTGTATCCTGTGAAACAAAGGGAACCTCTACAAGCATCATGCCAGTCTACTGCAAAATTATTCAGCTTTTGTAATTAAACATGTATACCAACTGAAGATGCCCACTGGAGTAATTTTTAATACTGACAGAACCCAAAGAACTCAGTGATGATGCAGATTCTTCTTGAAGAGTTGTGCAGCTCTAAGAAACAATACAAGCTGAGATTTCTTCTAGATCATCAAAATGCTGGGGTTTCAACCCCAAGCCCCAAATTAAGGTTGACATATGGGTGATTCCCACAGCCCTTCACAAAGGGAGGGTGAGTTTGCCTTTAGGCTTCCCTGCAGGGAGCAGCCAGCCTTGCAGGGAGAGCCATTGGGTAAATGAGCCCCAGGTGTCTGCATTAAGTAAACAAGGGTCAGGTGTCCCACTTGGGGATAAAAGGTGGGACCACTGGCAGAAGGGGCAGTGTCTGTCTGTGAGGTGGAGGTACTGTGCAGAGTTCCCTGTTGGGGAAGGACCTCTTGCCTCCCTGGGACTGGGCTCCAGTCAGGTCTGGTTTTTGTAAATGTGAGCTGTGTAGAGATTCAGTATGTGGCTTCCCTGGTCTTATGTGTTTGGCTTGTTAACTCGGTTGTCTCCTGTCCCTTCTATAGGAGACTGCATTTCACCATTTATTGCACCCATTGTTGGTTTTGTGGTGGTGGTGTTGGGGTCAGTGGGGTTGATGTCAATTATGTATAATCTGACTTGTTTGTACCCCCAGTGTTCACCCATGTACTGACCCTTTTGTATCAAATACAATTTGTTTATTGGTTCACCTTTATGCTGGTTGTGTCCTTTATGCTAGGCCTAATAATTGGCAAAACAATCATGGATGCATAATTTCATCTGGTTAAGGAACAAAAAATGGCTCAAATACTTCAGAGTAGCTTTGAAAAACAGTCTTGACCTTGCTCATATTTTACAAGGCTTCCTCTTGACAAAGATAAATGAATTAAGTAGCTCTTAAAAATGTATTTGACTGCCTGTTAAATTGTTGAAGTTATCTGAAAGCAGGTAGTAAGCTAAATTTCATCCACATTTTGGACCTCTCCACATACATGACACTCGAGAAGATGAAGGGATTAATAGTGCAAATGGGGTCATTAAAGTGTATATGAAAAAAGATGATGTGTATGTGTCAATGAAGCTTGAGAAATGGCATTCATGACAGAAAAGTATCTGTAGCCACTAGGAATGATTACACATGAGGCTCATGCACTTCCTCATGAACACCCTTCTATTTAACATTCAGCTGTGTAACTGCAAATCATTAAAGGATCAAAATTCACCAAGAGCTAGCTCCTGTATCTTATGCACACCTCATGTTTGTGTGAACTGCCCTTACCCTTTGGGAAAAATTCCATCAGCAGTGCAAACAGCCAGTGGCTGAACTGCAGCCAGCCTGTGGTTGCTTGTACTATTTTGGTTCTTTTTAAAAATATGTGATCATAAAGCACTTAAACACAGGTGGTACTGAGACACTCCTTAAATTCACTTTTCACTGCTAATCCCACCTCAGAACTGATTTCTGCACTGATGTTGTCATGTACATAAAACAACCTGGCTCTGTAGTCTTAGCGCTAGCAGTAGTGACTTGGAAAAATGTCTTCTCAACTTTCTTACTATATGTGGCTTTATAGACTTAAAAAGAAAAAATGGAAAATAAGATCAAAAGCCATCTATCAGATAAGTCACCTAAGCGAGCATATGTAAATATCCTGTCCACAACTGGAAACAGAAATACAAAATAAAACTCCATCTTATAATGCAGAAATCCTCAACATATACTATTTCAAACATACTGTAGGGTGAAATGCATAAAAAGACATTGAACTCACGCAAATACTGTATTACACAGTGAAGTATGCGTTGCTTATGTAAATGATTACAAATCAGAAAATAAAGCATAAAAACTTGAACTGACCCTTCAGTCATTTAACTTACTGTCTCCTTCCATTACTTCCTCATGAGAATTTTCTAGCAGAAGGGTGGTAGAGGGCTGAGCTACGTAACTGCTAAGAGACATAGAAATACAGTATTTATGAGCAAATTTTTGGTATTTTGTAGGCACTGTTTTATAAACCTAGCAAGAAAAATCAATGCCAAAGCTTGGCTTTTGACTAAAGTATAAGTATCAACTGGATGACTGTTTTGCTTTATTTTCATAAAGTATTGGTATTTAACAGCTTCTGAGGGAAAAGGAAACATGATTGCAATATGGAAAGAATATTTCACTGTGAATAGAAGCAAGAGGCACTATATAAGATGGATATATTTCAGCAATCCCTGTAGTTGACCACATCAGTCCTAAAGCTTTTGAAAGTTTGGAAACCAAAATATTTCCATATTGTGAAGATAACACATAATAGAAAGAGCAATGTATTCTCCTTTGGGGCCCACCACTCTCTGGTCGCTTACACAAAGAACCTCCCACAGACATTACTGACAGCGTTGCTTCTGAACACAGCACAACATTACTAAAAACATTAAACAATACAAATAAACTAAGCAGCACATCATGAAAGCCAAGTATCTCTTCATCTACTGGATTGTGGATCAGTGTCTTGAAAGTTCAGCAAATGCCATGAGAGGCTCCGCTACAGAAGGATGCCACTCGCTGCCAGTAGCATTGTGGCCTGTCACCGAGGTCAGAAAACAGCTCTTGCTGACCCAGCAGCATCCTACTTGTGTCTGTGATTTCTGTGTACTAGTTCCATGGTAAAAACAGGAGAGGATGGACAAAAAACACATGGAACATTAAACAGACTCACTTAAAACTCGTAATGAATGTTGCAGTCTAATACTTTGCATTCTGTACATTTTAGAAAGGAACTGAAAATGGAAAGGCAGTGTGTTTAAAGGACTAATCCCTTTTTATCTAGATCCCTACCTCCCCAGACTGACCATGCCTCGACAGAAGATACTGAAACATCATAGCTAAAACCAACTGCTGAACACTAACACGGACTATAGCTGGACTAGAACTACGTATCTTAGAGCCTTACCTACTAACATTTAATTATTGGTGTTTTACCATTTTTTCCACTAAATATTAGCCTAAACCTAGTCTGCTTCAACAAGGACACAATTTAAATGATTTATTTAAAAATAAATAAATAAATTAAAAGAACTCCAAAAGCTTTACTGTGGGAAAGGGAACAATCCAGCAGGCTCCATTGCAGCTAAAATGGAAGGACAAAAGTGACAACCTATACTTACAGGTGTACAGTCTGCTTCTCCACCAGCCAGTAGCTGGTATAGTCACCTATTCTTGTACAGAGACAGTACAGTACTACTGTATCTGAACTCTCCATTCATATTGGTTTGCACAGGAATAACTAACTGTTCAAGCTGCTATGGAATAAAAAGTCAGGCTTCTGGATCTTCAGGTATGAGAAATCAAACCTCTAATAAGTCAAATACAAGCAGGGACCTTTGCAAAGCACTGCATATACATTTGCATGAGTGCTCCAGCAGATGCCCAAGAACATACAGGGTGTGATGGGGGTCACGTCACTGTTCTGACAGAAATTCAAACACATTAGTATTCATATTTAAATAATAAAATGTAATTGCTGTCTTCAAAGCAGTAATTTCCAAACAAAACCAGAGAAAACCAAAGTAAGTTCCCTTGGAACTACCAACTGCGTGCATTGTTATTTTTAAGAAGAACACTGCTACAGGAGACATTTCCTATAGCCTAAGCTGCCTTCTGTAGGCACCTTTATCAGGGCTGATAGCCCTGTGACTCCAGAAAACTAATTATATTTAAATACAGATCCATTCACTGGGTCAGAGAAGCATGTCTCCAAAACTTTCTTATTCTCAAGGTCAACATACACTGGCCCCTAAATACAGATTTTCTGGTTTTATATCAAGTCTGTCCATGGGTGAGTTTTAGAAAGGGAAACAATATTCATGCTTTTGTTAGGTGCTCATGTGGGCTTTTTTTTGTGTAGGGTTACTGACTATTGCTGCTAAATGACTTTATGATGATCTTATGTCCAGTATAAATACAGTGCATGGATTTATTTTAATTAGTTTTCTAGGGGTGTCCTTTCTGGAATACCACTGGTTTGCTTGTAAAACGTTAAAAGGAGAATTGTGAGACTTGAGAACAATAATGTAAGAGGTTAGTGGAGTGACTTTCTTTTCTCTTATGAAAAGAAGGGCCAGCGCAAGAATTGTATCTTACTTCAGCCACCAGAGTGAAGACCTGTCCCCACTGAAATCAACAGTTAAACTCTTACTCTTTTCCAGCCTGAACTTAACTCTCAGGAGCACATCCTACCAGTGTGTATGCCCTACGCCTTCCCTCTGTGGAGAGCTCAGTTTCACCCAGAATGCACTACCATCTAGTAGTGAAGCCTGGAAACAAAATTTTATCTCCCCCAAAATTTTGGTTATGTTACAGATTTACAGGCTAAAAGCGAACCAAGGATGACAGCCCATTTTTTTTACACTGAGTCAGATGTTAAGGATACTGTAAGCATCTGGGGCTGCATAACAGGGAGGTGGCCAGCAGGTCGATGGAGGTGATTCTCCCCCTCTACTCTGCTCTCATGAGACCCCACCTGCAGGACTGCATCCAGCTCTGAGGTCCTCAGTACAAGAAAGATCTGTTCGAGCAGGTCCAGAGAAGGGCCATGAAAATGATCAGAGGGCTGGCAGACTTCTCCTTTGAGGACAGGCTGAGAGTTGGGTTGTTCATCCTGGAGAAAAGGCGGCTCTGTGGAGACCTTACTTCAGTCTTTCAGCACTTAAAGGAGACTTGAAAAGATGAGGACAGATTTTTTTACCAGGGCTTGTATGTACAGGACAAGGGGCAATGGTTTTAAATAGAAAGAGGATAGCTTTAGACTGGACATAAGGAAGAAATTCTTTATGATGAGGGTGGTGAGACACTGGAACAGGCTGCCCAGCGAAGTTGTGGCTGCCCCCTCCCTGGCAGTGTTCAAGGCCAGGTTGGATGGGGCTTTGAGTAACCTGATCTAGGGGAAGGTGTCCCTGCCTATGGCAGGGGGGTGTGAACTAGATGATCATTAAGGTCCCTTCCAACCTAAACCACTCTATAATTCTATGAGATACACGTAGCAGAAGAAAAGCCCAATACCTAATTTAAAGCCTTTTGTAACACATTAAGTTCAGCTGAATTGTGATTTATTCAGAAAATCATTACAGTATCTGCTAAACAATTAGGTCATGCCTTTTATGCTACAAAACAGTAATTCGTTATGTAATTTCTCAAAAGTGATGTAAAGATCA